AGTAGCAATCACATTACTGCTGTGAGAACTGTTACTACCCTAAAAATTTTAGGAAATTGTCAGTAATGTCAAAAAGACAGACCCAACTGATGCCAATGGAATAACAATTAATACTTTAACAATTACTGGTGGTAACTGCTGCATGACCAATAACTAAGTATCCATCATAACAGTAGCTCAGCGCTACTATCATTCTTATAAGGACAACAAAAATCACTACTGCAAATGCTGTTGGCGCTAACGTTCGTAGCAGCTGCAACAGTTAACAGCAATGACTGTTAATGAAAACATGATTATTTTCACCACTGGTAAAAAAACAATATTGTGAAAAGCACACGAAGTTACTGACTGGCTATAGTTAATAAAATCGCTACTGGTGATAGTACAACCAACATTAACAGCGCCTGTCTTTCTAAAACTAACTGTACTGACAGCAACGGTAATATAACATCTACTTGCGGCGTATCTGCTACTGTCGATACCATAAACTTTAGCAAAATTTCACTCTAATTAACATAACCAGTCTGTTCTAAGTATTACTTTCACTACCTCGAAGTGTTAGGATGGTCACAGCTGATTCACCAAACGATGTAACAGCAGAGTCTATACGCACTGGCAGTGAAAGCTTGAAAAATATACATTGTTTCATACTTGAAAGCTTCATCCTTAAGTGCTTATATATGATACGCATATAGCAGCATCGGGAGCACATAAGACTGGCATATCCGTATGCTAGTACAAGATGACATAGAACTCGAGGACCAGCTGCATGACACTGAACATCTCAGTAAATACTGCATCTCTATAATAATAGTAAATACTCAAACCAACTACCTATAGAAATACTCAGTTGAAATCATTACGACTCTGTCCAGGAGTCAAAAATGTGATCTAGAGATTTAGAAATTGCTTAACGACAAATCTTAAACATAAATTTCCTTTTCAATTCCAATAAATGAAAAAATTACATCCTGTTCCCTCGTTAAATCGAACTCTCGGTTGCTGTCTTTGAATTTGGCAACATGGTAAGGACCTTCGCTTAAGGTAACCTTTACCGGCGTCCGGGTCATCATTTCACCAGATCCTCTGAAACACCAAACAACGTATTAAAGGAAGCTCGCAGCAGGCAAAAACAAACGCAGTTTAATAAGCCTTTAGGTCTTTCACGTTGCCTCGCAGCGCTGAAACATTCTATGAAATATTCCACCTACTTCGCTAGTAACTTAGCTCTGTTGGTAACGACAGCTTTACAAAATGACGGAAGACTAGTGGCATGCATATTAATTATACAAGAGTGCATGATTTAATGATTTCATCGTGCAATGCATCGTCTGAATAGGAAAAGACAACTAATGCGGCAAAAGCGTAGTACCCTCAGATCCTCTATTTGAATGCGTACATGTCCTTAAGATCAAGTTCATCATTGGCGCTATGAAGACGGACAAATATTCAATGAAACAGACATATGCACAAATGATACAAGAATTGAAATCTTCTAACCACTGGGATATCAGAAATCCTCATACTTCAATATCGGGCACCATTCTTAGAACAATTTTTTAACAGAGCATACGACGAGTCTGGATTCTGTATTTTTATGTAACCAGATAGCAAACCTATTTTCGAAGGCTAATCTTAACAACTACATGATAACTATACGGTGCAGCCTTCTGCGTCTCTTCTACATTATGACAATCATTCATTTATCTGTTAATCTCGAAAAACCAGTGATTAGCCAAGATTCGAAAAACGATTAGACAATACGACTGGGATTTTAATGCGTATGAGTGAAAAAGTATGACTGATATAGATACGAGTACTCTTACTCTTCGCCATTGTACACAAATAAAACAATCTGCTCAAACGACATTGTATCTGACCACGGCAAGTGAATGTGTTAGCGTTACAACAAACAGTAGCAGTCACGGTAAACCTTTTTCATCGCTGAGTAGTGCAAGGCAGAAAGAGATGGAACATCCAACATTCATTTTCCATTCTTAAATGAGAAACGAAAACGCTGGCAATTAGCACAACTTAAACAGCTGATTTCCATCAATGGTAGGATTTCCATCCACGGTAGGAACAAAGTAATATATATCACCTAAATAAAACGTGTCCGCACCTACCATTCTTTGTATGACTATGGTCGAGTGTCGTCCCCTGATGTCGGACCAATCTGGTTTTGAACATAACTGGTCAGATATTCTGGGAGACTTTTGTTCAGAACGCCGCATCTGTCCCGCATTTCAGCCCAATGGGTACTTACGTCCTTTCCGTCAGCCACCAACGAAGAACCATGGATTCAGGAAGGTTGGTTTCCTTGATTTCAGTTGAATAGTTGGCGCAAGATTGATTACCTGATGATCCAGAAATGAAACTAAAACTCGGCATGTTTGTTTTTATGTAATCATCATGCTTAACTTTAATTTTTTAGCAAAAAGCATCATCGGTAATGTTTTGAAATACATTTTGACCAAAGAATATCTTATTTATCACTAATTAAATTCAATCGTACATGGAATATAATCTGAGTCCGAGAGTAATTATAAACATAATTTACCGTGGAAAAATGCGCGCACGTGCGATCATCTCCAGAACACTGGTTTTTCCCGAACTCTGGTCACCAACGACTACTACCTAAACAAGTTTATGCTCTTTGTGTAGCCAATGCAAAAACACAACATGAAATTGTTGACTCACTCGCGGAAGGTGATCCTGGGTGCTAAATGACGAGTCGTAATCTACCAGGAGGTCGAGCGCCTCTGAGTACATGTCGATCAGTGATTTCTGAAACAGTGTTCAGCAGCCCCGAGCAAAACAGGCAAAAAAAGATGCTCACCTTGGCGTGCCGCATCCTCGACGACTTTTCTTGGCGTAGCAGCAGCAGCTGCCTGAGTTCCTCGTTCTCTCGTGAAAGACGTTCGATCTCTCTTTGGTATTTAATCTGAAACAGAACGGTTGATGATACAAAGTAAATTTTCAAACGAAGGATTAAAATAGGTTTTGTTGTATCTACTTTAGATCTGTAGTAGTCATCAACACGGCGTCATATGGACACATTGAAAAGGAATGCGCACCCTTCACATAAAAGCGATAAAGCAAGCAGAGCTTTCAGTTTTCAATTT